TTCCTGGAAAAAATCCTTGCATTCCTGCATGGTTATAAACGTGCTTCTGAGTCACAGCTACTCAGTCCCAATTTGAAATTTGGCCAGAACACCACTGTAGATGATTCTCATTTGGTCCTTTTTTTTTTCCCCAGCATAGCCATATTTCAAAAATAAATTCAAATAAGGTTGCCAAAAGCCACTTTCTAAGATGAGTGCAGTCCATCACAGCTCTTGGGAATATCAGTCATGGAAGGGGAGGCTCTCCCCCCTTTCTAGACCCTGCCTGGGCTGCATTAGAATCACAGAATGGTTTGGTGTTGAAGGCATCTTAAAGATGATTTAGCTCGAAACCCTTGCCATGGACAGGGACACCTTCCACTAGACCAGGCTGTTCCAAGCCCTGTCCAACCTGGCCTTGGACACTTCCAGGGATGGGGCAGCCACAGCTTCTCTGGGCAATCAGTGCCAGGGCCTCACCACCCTCATAGGGAAGAATTTCTTCCTAATATCTAATCTAACTTTGCCCTCTGTCACTTTGAAGCCATTTCCCCTTTTCCTGTCACTCCAGGCCCTTGTCCATCATCCCCCTCCAGCTGTCTTGGAGCCCCTTTAGGCACTGGAAGGGGCTCTAAGGTCTCACTGGAGCCCTCTCTTCCCCAGGCTGAACACCCCCAACTCTGAATATCTTCAGGGACTTGCCTGATGCTTTCCCCGAGCAGGGGAGTAGCTTCTGGCTTTCTGAGCAACCCGAGGCTTGGCAGAGGATACTTATAATGCTATTTCCCAGTTTTTTGGGTGCCTGTACCCAGGAATGCACAGGTGGGAGACTTCGAGGTGCCTGGGCTGAGCCAGAGGCTGCTCCAGGGGGCTGTGCGGTAACTGCGTGGGGGGTTTGCTTCTGCTTCTGAGCATCCTTCGGAAAGGGGGTCATGCAGGGGGAGCCCAGACGAAGCCCTGGCTGCTGTCTGAGGCTGGGGGATACAGGGAGGGGACAGCTGCCACTAGATGGCAATGCCGGAGCGGCGGCAGTGGCCCCGCCACGGGGGGGGGGGGAGGGGGGGGGCTCGGGCTCACCCGGGAAGGGGCAGCCCCGTGTCTCTGGTGATGCCCTGCCCTGCAGGGGTGGTGGCATGGCTGGGAGTGGTGGGGGAAAAGCAAGGAGAGGGCTTGGATGGCAATATCAACGTGAGAATCATAGAACCATGGAATCATTTAGGTTGGAAAAAACCTCTAAGCTTATTAAGTCCAACTGTTAACCCAGCACTGACAAGCCCACCCCTCAGCCATGTCCTCAGGTGCCATATCTATATGTCTTACAAATCCCTTCATGGATGGTGACTCCACCACTTCCCTGGGCAGCTTGTTTCAGAGCTTGACAACCCTTTTGGTGAAGATATTTTTTCTCCAATATCCCATCTGAACCTGCCCTGGTGCAACTTGAAGCCATTTCCTCTTGTCCTGCCCGCTTGTTGCCTGAGAGAAGAGACCAACCCCCACCTGGCTACAGCCTCCTTTCAGGTGGCTGTAGAGAGTGGGAAGGTCCCTCCTGAGCCCCCTTTTCTCCAGCCTGAACATCCCCAGCCCTCTCATCAGCCTTGTGCTCCAGACTGGAGGAGTGTTAGCCTGTCTCCACAAAAACAAGCGCATCCCAAGCGCCTTCCTGTCCTGGCACCGCCTGTTCCCCTCTCTTCTTGGATTTCCTTCATTCACAAAAACCCAAACAGCCCCCTATATCTGGCTCTGGATCCCTGTGCCGTGTTGAATCATGCGGGTATCAGCCATCCTTCTTCCTGACTCACGGATCCCAGTGTGCTGGGTGAGGGTCAAGATGAGAACAGCAATAAACATCCTGGGAAACCGAGCTTGCATCTCTTGGCATAGCCAGAGACTTCTTTTTTTTCCTTTTGGCTTTCAATCTTCTCTTAAGGAGCTGCTTTCTCATAAATATCCCATCCTTCAGCACTGTCTGAGCAGGAGAGAGACTCCCATCAGGGTCATCCTGTGCTCTGCTCTGCAGCAGCAAACGTAATGGTGAACCCCGGGTTGAGGGAACAGCCCACTGCCCCAGCAGAAGTGTCCAGGTAAGGTGTGTATTCCTGCTTTGAAGGGGCCAGGAGGAGGAAGGCTGCCTTCCTCCCCCTCAGCCCCTTGCTCTGAGCCAGGCAGGGGATGCAGAGGCAGTGCTGGGTCCATTCTCCTCAGCCTCTGGGCACCACACACAGCCTGAGCATTTAGGCGGGGTGGGGTCTTGCAGTGCAGGCTTAGGGGGTGGGAGAAGCCTTGGGGGGCCGGGAGGAGCCAAAGCAGGAGCTCTGCAAGGCTGAGGATCTGCTCCTGGCAATCGGCCCAGGCTCAGGTTTAATTAACAGTGACTTAGAGGGTTGAAAGGTGGGAAGTGTGGCATCGCTGCTGATGCTGCGTTGGTGGTGGGGAGGAGGAGGAAAAGGGGATGAGCCACAAATTATAATTGATTTGTTTAGGGTAGTGTCTTGACTGAACCGAAGGGACTGTAATTAGTTGGTAACTGGTGTGGCCACCTCGCTGCCTGCTGTTAGTGGAAGGGAAGCCCAGGGTCACTCTGGCTGGCTGGTGGCCTGGGAAGTGTTTTGGGAGGAATCTGCCCACCCCTACTCCACTCTGTGCTGCAGCATAGTGGTGATGTAGCTGGGGACTTGCTGAAACCCCCCAAAATGACACCCATTTTGGTTATAAGGCTAATTGGAGGCATAGTCAATAGGGATGCAGCAGATGGGCATTGTGAGCTGGTGGGCTCTTGGTGCCTGTCTGGGGCAATGATCCCACAGTCTGTTTTGCAAACATTCCTCTGTTATCTTGCTGAGGAGGACCTGATCCTTCCTCTTCCTCACCCAGTCAGCCCAAGGCCTCCTGGCAATGTACCCGTGAGAGCCTGGGACAAAAAGCACACCCTCTGGCCCTTTGGTCACAGTAGTGCCTGCAGGGTGGAGAAGTGCCTGGTGAAGTGGTGCCAGGCTGCACCAAGGGAGAAGCCCTTGCCCAAATGAGTTAAATCAAGCCCTTAATAACATAAATTGTTTTTTTTTTAAAATTTAAATGCCTCAAGTGTCCCTGGCTGCCGCACAGCAGGCGTGAGGGATGGGGCAGCAGTCACTGTGTTTGCAGAGCACTTTGGTGGTGGTGTTGTGGACAGGGGAAGAGCATCGTGGGGACACAGGGTGTCTTGTGAGACCAGCTGTAGCTCTGGGTGCTCTGCTTGAGGCAAAGGCAGGCAGCGAGTGTCGGAGGCCCTGGGGACCTCTCTGACCTCGGCGTTCAGTGGGAGGGGTGGGGGATCCTGTGTGTGAACAGCTCCCCGGGTGCGCTGAGCAGTGAGGCTGTGCCCTGCCTGGTGGGTACGGAGGACTTGGGGACATCCCTGTGGATCTGTGGATGTACCCTGTGGGTGCCAGGAGGGCGGGGGGGTTCCCCAAAGGTGGGTGGGCAGGCAGTCCCTGCACCAGGGCACAGCCCAGCCCAGGGGACCCTGGGCACCCCTGGGTGACCTTGGCACATGCAGAGGTGCAGCACCAGCAGCGTCCCCAGTCCTCTGCCCATAATGGGTTGGCTGGGTGGGGAGCAGGGTCAGAGCCCTCCCCCCTCCCCGTGGCAGCTGCTGCAGGGACAGATCCAGCCCGGGCTGTTTACACCTCTCCGATGAGCTGCTGCTGCTTCTGGCCAACATCATGTGTCAAACAGAAAATACCGAGTGGGGGGGAGGGATGCAAAGAAGGCTGATCTGTATGCGAGTGAGCAGGAGGGCTCTCCCCGGGCACCCGCTGGCGACGGGGCGGCTCCGGCGGGGAGCCGGGAGCCTCGAAGTGTCCCAGGGATGGGGGGGGGAACACAGTCCATGTGGCCGGAGAGATTCTCGGTGCGGGCTGAGATGCGGTGGGAAGGCTGCAGGCAGGGGAGCCCCCCTTGCCCCTCAGTTTAGCCACTCACCTAGGAGCACCCGTGTGCTGGAAAGCCCACTGCAGCCAGGGCGGGAGGGGTGCTTCTGGCAGGGTGAGGGCTCCCCCATTGCCTTTGTTCCCTTCAGACCCACCCCTCGACTCTGATTTTCCTTTGCGGCAGCTCCCGTGCTTGCCAAAAGAACGCACTGGATGGAGCGAGCGAGCGAGCCGGGCGTGTTGTGCGTGTGTGTGCGCTTGTGTGCGCCTGTGTTGCCACTGACTTCATTAAAGCGAGCTGTCCCCGAGCTGCAGAGGCGCGGCAGCCTTTAATTTCGTAGCCCGGCTCCTGCGGGAAGCCGACGCCGCCTTACGCGCTCCTGCCCTGGCAGCGAAGGGCTGAGCATCCCTGGTGCCTGCCTGGGGGCTCTGCCCTCCATCCCTGCCCGCTGCCCCAGGGAGCCAGCAGATGGGTGGTCGGGCTCCCTCAGGATGCTGAAGATGGAGTCGGGAGGAAGGAGTTGGACACTTGGCTCCAACTGAGCCGGACCACGCTGCAACCTGTTCCCCCGGCCTCGGCTGCTGCGCTGGGTGCTGTACCGAATTGTGTCTTCCTTTGCGATCGGGTGGATGGAAGGACTTGGATCCCAGCCCTTTCCCTGCCTGATCTCTGCTTGCCTTGAAGCGGGGGGGTTAAAAGGGGCTGGTTTGGGCTTGCAGGCAGAGCGGTGGGAAGGATGTGGCTGGGTTTAACCCCTTGCTTCGTGGTGGAAGGTGCTTAGGGACTGAGCCGCCGCGGCCTCTGGCGAGCACGAAGGAGGGCTCGCCGCCCTCCCTGCTGCCCGAGTGGCCGTTCTGGGGGGGCTGGAAGCAGCGGGGTGCCCCTCATGCCGTGCCGGAGGCACTGAGCCGGTGCCGTGCCTTGCCGCCTCTCCTCCACGCGGGTCCCTGCTCCCTTGGAGGGATGGAGGAGAGACGGAGCTGAGCATCACCCGGAGAGGAGGAGGGGGCTGTGGTTGGGACTGCGCCCCGCAACCCCCTCCCTCTTCTCTCCCACCCCCCCGCCGCCTCGGTGCTGCTGCTTTGGCTCACCTGTGTGTTTTCTTCCAGGATGGCTCGCTTTGGGGAGGCAGTGGCTGGCAGGCTGGGCTCTGGAGATGGGGGCTCCGACCAGAACCGGAGCCGGCAAGGAGCTCCTGCCCCTGCAGGAGGGAGCCCGGGAGCCTTCAAGCAAACCAAAGCGCAGAGAGCCCGGACTATGGCTCTGTACAACCCCATCCCCGTCCGGCAGAACTGCTTCACCGTCAACAGATCGCTCTTCCTCTTTGGGGAAGAGAACATAGTCAGGAAATATGCCAAGAAGCTCATTGACTGGCCATATCCTTTCTGCTCCCCCTGCGAGCCCCCCCTTGCTCCCCGGATTTGCCTCGGTGGCCGCCCAGGACACGTGTGTGGCACTAACAGCAGGTAAGGCGTGCGGAGAGGGGTGCCCCGTCCCCCGGGGATGCTCTCCTCGCCCTGTTGCTGCTTCCCCTCCTGTCCTCTGCTCTGTGCCTGACGGGAGCTGAGCTCTTTCTCCCGGCAGGGAGCCCCCCAGCCCCTCCTCAGGCTTGGATTTGTTATCCCCCCATGCTGGTGAGGTGGGGTGCTCTGATCCCAGTTTAACCCTGCGTGCTTTAGGATGCTCTGTGCGTGTGCCTGGCGAGGGGGTGGTGGTGGTGTCGTGGCCTTTCCTGTGTGCCTTGATGCCTTGCTGGAGTTTTGTCACCCCACCCCACGTGGAGCCACCCATCCCGTTGGGGACAGCTCCCTGGGAGCCCATGAATCTCCAGTTGCTGCTGGGTGGCGGCTCTGTCGCTCCTGTGTGTGCTCTCTTTGCTGCAGATCGCTCCTGGCAGGGGCACAGCCATCCTCGCCCTGCAGCCCCCGGCCCCCCACGGCAGCTCTGGGAACTGGCTGCCCCCTCCCTGCGGCAGAGGGAAGGATGCTGAAAACCTCTGTCTGTGCCCCGTGGCCCTTTTGGAGAAACTGGCACGGGGATCTGTGATTTTATCCCAGGGATCCTCCCCGTCGTAGGGCTGGGTGGTGGGTGCAGATATCCCCCCTGCTTCCCCAGCTCCTCCATCCTTTCATACATCCCCACGCACTTATCTCTCCTCCCACCCTCCCTGCGGGTGCCCCCGGGCGCCTTGGCCGGTGCCCAGCACCGCAGCACTCAGCCCCTCATCAGCCTGGGCTCAGTGCCCTGCTGCCCCCTGAGACCCCTCCTGGGCTTTGTCCCCAAGGAGGACCTGAGCCTGAAAACTTCAGTGTGGCCATGCTTTGGCTGTAGGACCCTCCCTGTGCCGTGTTCTGCAGCAGTCATTCCATGCAGCTCTCGCCTCTCCCGCTTTCTCTCCCCGCAACTTGTTGGTTGAGTTACCGGCTCCTCCAGCGGGCATGGGAGGGCTTTCCCTGGTGCCAGGCAGCAGTGCCTTGGTTTGGTGCAACAGGTACCTCAGGGAAAGGCCTCTGGTAAGGCACAGGGATGCAAGACAGGTCACCCACCCCGCTGAGCATCGCCCGGGAAATGTCCCTTTGCAGCTCCGACATGTCAGGTCAAACCTCTGCAAAGCAGGAACTGGTCCTGGTTGGGGAACTGCACTGTGTCCAGGCTTGAGGGCGTGACCTGGGTGTGCAGGGCCAGTTTAGAGGAGCCCTGAATTCCCTGTGGCATCCCTAAATCTGCCCCTCCTGGCAGCACCCACCGGGTGGGTGGCTCCAGGAGCGTTGGTGCGGTGGCGAGGACGGGGACGTGGCGGCTCAGCGCGGAGCCCTGCAGGGCAGCGGCCCGGCTGGCTGCCTGCTTTTCCAGAATATGCCAAATTATTCATGTGCTTTTTCAGCGGGATGTGGGAGGGCCCTCGCCCCTTCGGCTCTCGTTTAGAGTGAGAAGGAGCTGGGGTGCTGCTGCTGGCCCGGCACTCCCGGCGTGGGCTGGGGTCCCGTGCCGGCGTGATGTCTCATCTCCAGGCAGCCGCTGTCTCCTAGAGACTGGAGCTCCACGACCACGCGATAAAAACTCCCCGGCATTATTCTCTCCTGGAATTTGCAATGCATGAGGGAGATGGGCTCATTTTATATTTCTTTTTTCCAGAAGTAAGTGACATATTCCCGTGTGAGTGCTGGGAACGGGCGTGCTCCAGGCGCGGGAGCTGAGCGTTCCTGCCTGTCCTCCGCCTGGCTGCCATCTCTTTCCTAGAAACTCATCCACCCTGGAGTTCCTCTGCACCACTGGAGTTTTGAGGGCTTGGGAATGGGCAAGACCTCTTAGTGATGAGTTTTGGTTAGCTTGGCCTGGCAAGTTGTTCCCGTCCTTGTAGCTGTAGCCTGGCACAGGCAGCCGGTGCCTTTTGGTAGGGCCAGGAAAACCTCAGCTGCCTGGCCTGCAGCCCATGGCATTGCTCCTGGATGAGGGTAGTCTGGGGAGGTGAGCGTTGGATCTTGGCCATGGCCAATGAGAGCTGCAGGCTTTGGGAGGGTGATGGGCCAGTCCCTGTGCCGTGGGTTGGAGTGGGCACTGCACCGAGGACAGCCAAGGGGGCTGGAGTGGAGCGCAGGGAGGAGTGAAGGCTCTTCTTCATCCAGCTCCAGTTGACTAGGTAATAGGGCTAAAAATATCTGGTGATTCAGGCCTGGATATCTGCTGGGTAACTGTGTAATTATAACCAGCAGCCTCTGCAGTTTGGCTTCCCAGTGTAAATAGGGATGATGCATGGAGGGAAAGGAGGAGAAACAGGAGCAACTGGGATTGGGATGCAGCTCCATGGGGAGGCAGGTCCTTGCCGACTTCCTTGCTTGGAAGCCCAATGCGTTACCTCCACTGGAGCTGCTCTTTTAGCCCGTCCTGCCCAGAACGTGAGGCAGCTGCTGTTTTGGCTGTAGGAACATCTCCTCCTCTTCTCCTTGAGAAACACAGCCTCGTCCTGCCTGCTCTCCTCCTGCTGATGGCCAGGCCTTTCGCCCTGATTTCATTTGTTTGGCTGCCTGGAAAGCTGCAATTCAGTTAGCACATGAGATGGGCTGCAGCTCATCCATATCTGCTCCGTTCCTCATCCACCTAATCACATTTGACCTGGATAAGATCCCTCTCCCGCCTCAGAAAGGCCAGATGACATTGTGTGGCTCTGGCTGCGTCCCCAAGGACAGCATCTGGCTGCAGGCACACCCTGGCCACTCCACCTGTCCCTGAGTTCGGCAGGGGAGAGGGATGTCCATCAGGACCTAGTTCCCTGTAGTGAGGGGTTTCTCCTATCTCGGCCCCTTGGAGGACCAAATCTGCTGTTGGGATGGCCAAGAGCAGCCCGAGTGCCTGCAGGGCCCCAGGGTGCATTCCCAATCCAACAGTCACGGGGATTTTGTTCCGTGGGAAGCACACCCGTGTGTGCCTGAATTGTTTTGCTCGTGATGAGTCTCGCTTAGACCTGACACTGTGTGGGCAGTGCCCCTCAGGGACCCTGGCAGTGTCACCTGGCCGAGCATCTTCTGTACCTTTGCTTTTCCCCAGCCAAGATTCCGGCAGGTCTTGCTTTCCCAAGGGAAGAGCTGCGCCATGTCGTGCCATCCTTGGGCAGCTCCGCTCCTTGCGCTCCCCAAGAACGTATTTTTTATGATTTTTTTTTTCCCCTCTCAGGCTGTTTTCTGTGCCCTTCATTCATCAGATTTTAGATTTTTTTTTTTTTTTTTGGGAGGGGCGAGTAGGTGTAATGGCAGGTCCATCTTTTTGACAGCCGGGGAGAGCGAGGCTGCCTGTCAGATGGTGAATTTAAACAGAGGCAGCTGTTGTCATGGTGACGCCAAGTTGCATCCTGTTGCTGTGGCAACCAAAGTTAAAAAACTGATGTTAAGGCAGGAAAATCACATGATGTGGTTCTTTTTTGTTTAAAAAAAAAAGAAAAGGAGGAGGAGAGGAGAGAGATTTGATTTCCAGGGTGAGGTGGGGGAGAAGGAGACGCTTCTCCATGGAGCTGTTTGCACGTGTCAGGCAGACCCCGCATCCCACATCCTGAATCCTTACAGGAGCAGCAGCAGTAGCAGTGTGGGCAGCTCTGCCCGTTGGACTCCTGGCTGTCACTGCCTTCTGTTTAACCCCTGATGGAAACCAAACCAGCACGTTTTGGAGTCACAAGCAGCAATGTCTGTGACTGCAGAGAGTGAGCATGTCTGTGCAGTGGGATTTAGGCAGGCTGGGTGCTCCCTGCCAGCTGTGCAGGGACACGAGCACAACCCCAAGTCTATGCTTGCTCTCCTGACCCTGTGTGTAACAGGCACATAGGAGCTGGCTTGTGTTTAAAGGGTAGTGGGAGGATTTGGGGTCTGGACATCACTTTCTGTCAACCCCAAGCACAGCACAGATGGGCTGTTATGGGTGGCGGGATGCAGGGACAGGGTCAGCATGAGGGGTCACAGTTCTACGACTGCTTGAGGGCACTGGGTAGTCTTGTTGGTGGGGGAAGATCCCTTTTGTCCTCAGGGACAAGCCAGGGAAGTGTTGTGGGGCTGGGGAATCCCAGAGTTGAATTAGGGCTACTCAGAGGCTTTGCTCTACTTGGCACTTCTGTTTTTTCCTGGAAACAAAAAACCTCTCTTTTCTGGAGAGGTTGTGGACTCCCCATCCCTGGAAGTGTTCAAGGCCAGGTTGGATGGGGCTCTGAGCAACCTGGTCTAGTAGAAGATGTTCCTGCCCACGGCAGGGGGTTGGAACGAGATGATCTTTAATGTCCCTTCCAATCCGAACTGTTCTGTGATTCTATGAAAACAGCCTTGGAGAGGAGGTGCTCTCTTTCCTGCTGGGGTGTGGAGCTGAGAGGAGGGGCACTGGGGTCCTAGAGATGGGGGTGTTGAGGAGGTGGGGTTTTCTTTCTGTCTTGCCATGTCTGCATGGGACAGGCAGCAGTGCTGGGGTTGGGACCAGGAAGATGAAGTTCATGTGTGTAGAAACTGATGCTCATTCTCACTGACACCTGGGAAGCAGGGAAAGCCCCTCAGAGCAGTGGGTCCTTGGGAAAACCTGGGGAGAGGCGGGGAAATGGAGACATGAGTTTCTAGGAGGTGTTGGAACTGAGCTGGATGATGCAGATCAAGGGGTTGAATTGCTCTTGCTCTTCTTGCTGGCACTTGGAAGTAGGATTCCCCAAGGCCCCTGTGACCTCACTCCTCTGGCTCTTCTGCTGCTTCCCCACTTTGCCTGCCCAGGAGTGGGAGAGTGGGAGAAGGCACTGAGAAATGGAGGGATGGAGCGGAGCTCTCCATAGCTCCCATCTTTTGCCCGCATCCAGGGAGGGATTTGTCTCGTACCCAGCCTCCTGTGGAGATTGCATCAATGTACCATCAGCACCATAAATCTATCTTTGGGGATGGGAGCTGGGAACACTCCCTGCCTTAGCAATACAGGTGTTCTGGGCAGGCTGGTTTGGGCTTCTATCTGGGGAGGAAGGTGGGGAGGAAGGTCGCAGCTGGAAGAAAGGATCTGCTGGTGGCTGAACATCTCCCTGACAGACCCACCAGGGTGCTCCAACTCCAAGCTTGGGGTTAGTGCCTGCTCCAGGTGGTCTGGGTCATGGCTTGGGGAGATGCCTATATGGCCTGTGGTCACTGTTCCCACCTCAAAGGCTCTGGATGGGAAGCATGGAGCTGCAGGTGTGGCGTGCACAGGGATCGGCCGAGTTGCTAAGGAAACAAGTCAACGGTTCAGGGGAGAGAGCATTGGGTAAAGGAGATAAATCAATAAGAAAACCTATTTTTATCGGCTCCCTAATGATCTTCCAGGAGAAGCCAGACGAAGGAGGAGGAGGAGGAGAAGGCTGGAGGGAGATGGACTTTTGTTACCAGGCTTGGAGGGAGGCTAGGGCTACTCTGCAGTTTGGATGGCTGGAAGGTTGTGTAATTAGACATCTAATGTGAGAGAAAACAAAGCAGTGACAGAGCATTGTCTGGTGGGCTCCAGCCCTGAGCTGGGAGGTTGCTTGTTTGGCAGACATGAAGTGTGGGGATAAAATATCCCTCAGTTCAACCAGATGTTCCTGCTGTCCCTTGGGAGGTTTTCTTACCCTTGGCCTCTCAAAACCTAGCACAGCTGGAGCTATGGGAGATGGTTTCCACAGAGTTGATGTCTTGCAGCTCTCACACAGCTCTGGATGTGATAGCCTAGGCTCAGCTCCTCGGAAAAGTGGGCCAGTGGGGTTTGGAGAGTCACTTTTGGCAGTGACCTCATGCTTAGGTCAGTGCTTAGGGAAGCAATTGCCCTTTTAGACTTGGCCAGGTTGGATGGGGGTCTGAGCAATGTGGTCTAGTGAGAGGTGTCCCTGCCCACGGCAGGGGGATTGGAATGAGATGGTCTTTAAGGTTCTTCCAACCCAAAACATTCCCTGATTCTGTGATATCTCCTCACCCACATGCCATGCGCTTGCTGGAGGGTGGAGCAGGGATGTGGTTCTGTGCTGGGGTAGGTGTGTGCCGTCCCTGTGCTGTTGAACCAGATGTTGGAGCCCTCAAGGAAACATTGGGGTGAGCTGAGCCACTGGAGGTGGTCCTGAGCCCCCCAGGCACTGCTGCCTTGGGAGAAGTTGGGTTTTTCCCACCTGGGTGTTTCCCCCATGGGAGTAGTGGCAGTGGTGGGGAGGAGTGCAGGATGCTTGGCGGGTTTAGCCGTGCCGGGGCGGACAGACGGACTCGCCGAGCAGTTCCCACACTTCCCATCTAGGCAAATGTGCCTGGTGCCTGGGGAGCTGGCTGCACCGCCCCGCTAACACGCTGTTTTTCTTTTAAGCCGGTGCTAATTGCTCGCAGACTTTCAGGAAAACGATACAAAAAGATCCCAAACAGGCTGGTGGCTCGGGGCCAAGCGCCGCGGTCTGCCCGTCGGCTGGAGCGTGCAGCCAGGGGTGGGAGGCAGGGAGGGGACGTGGCTTTCGCAGGAGCCACGCCGTGAAACCCTCACTTGTGTTAAGCCTCAGAGGAAAACTTTTGGGGTTTGTCCTCTCCCTCCTCAGGTGCAGGAAGCTGCTCATGCTTTGTGCCTGGCTGGCAGCATGGTGCGAGCCGGCAGCAGTGAGCTCTGCAGCATCTCTCTTTGGGTTTGCCTCTAACTTAGCGACCATTAATTTCACTGAGTGGCCTTTTAAATGCCTTGGCTGAATCTTTCCTGGCTCTTCTTCCTACTGGGCTAAATACCTCCCAGCTCCTGCAGGCTCTCCTTGGCTGTGCCTCCTGGTCAGCTCTCTGGGGACCTGCTGATGCCCATCCCTGCTCCCACCTTGCTAGCTGCTGCAGGGTTGCTCCTGCCAGGGTCGCTTCATGGTTCCCCGTTTTCCATGCTCGTGGCCAGCGCTGGGGTACCTTCTCTTGTCCCTGGGCTCAAGGCCACTGGTTTAAAGCATTACGCTGTAGTTAGTGGCCAAAAGACAATGTTGCAAAAGGCAAAATCACCCCTTTTCCCTGGGGTTGATGTCATGGGCTTTGGGCACCTCCTGGTCTGAGAGCTGTGAACCTGAAGGTGCTGGGTCTGGAGAAGCCTGGTGTGGTGGGGAACGGCTCATCCAGGGGGCTGTTCTCTGTGCTGACTTGGGATGGTGGAAGTGTGGACGATTTCTTTACAGGCAAATCCATCCCTGGTGGGATCACATCCTCTTTCCACAGAGACAAGCTCTGGGAAGGTGGCAGTCCCCTCCTGGGGTGGCTGCTGATGCCAGTGGTGACAGTAATTGAGCTGAGGGTTTTTGGCATAGAGGGAGTGGAGCAGGGGTGTGCTGCCTGCTGATGAATCGCTCCACGTTTTGTTATTGAGGACAACAGGGCTTTTATTGCGAAGATGTGGGAAAGATGGATGGGAAGTTGGAAAGATATGGCCATCCTGTCACTTGGAAGTGCTTTGTTTTCAGGGCTTGGCACTGGGCCAGGCAGGAGGAGGGAGCTCCCTGTCCCTGCCTTGATCCCATAAATCAAAAGGCAGGAGGGAGCTGAGTTTGGGGTGCTTTCCTGGGCATCAATGTGCCCTTTCCTTCCCCTCCCACTCAGGTCCTCAGATGCCAGCACCTGCTGCCTCTTGTCCAGGCTCAGGGTTGCTCCTGGAGAAGGGTGTGTAAGACCTAGACATGGCTGTAGGATTTAGGAAGCTTTTAAGCGTCCAACCAGGCCCTGTTGACAAAGTGCTGCTACCCCTTGGAGTCTTGCTGAGCTGTGGCTGAGCTGGGATGTCTCCACAGGGAGTTTCCACCTTGCCTGAACTGAAGCTCAGCCTCAGCTGCCATCACTGTCTTGAGCTGTGAATGCTCAGCCACATGCTCTGCAGCTCCCAGTGCCCTCTAGGCTCATCCTGCTGCCCACAGGGTGCTTGGCAAGGGCATGTCCATCTTACCAGCACAGGGAGGACTGATCCAGGTCAGATTCCCAGGACCTGCAAGGGGTGTCCCATCCTACCCAGGCAGTGCAGGTGGTCCCTCTCATGGGGATGCTTTAGGACCAGAGCTGCTGATAGTCTGTGACACCTTCCCTCTCCGAGCTCTGAGCCCCATCTCCTGTCGCTTTGTGATGAAAAGAGAAGGAAAGCAGCCCTGGCCAGCAATGTATCATGCCAGGGAGAGCCTCCCTAACGCTGCCAGAGACCATGGCAAACCCTCTTCCAGACAAAGCCCAACCTGATCAGAGCCTGGCTGTCCCCCTTCAGACTTGTGCCCATCTTCTGTGCTACCACCACAAGCACCATCTCTCTCCCAAGGGAGTTCCCAGCCCAGCAAAGGCTTTTGGTTAATGACATGTGAGCTTGGGAGGGAGGTGATGAGGCGAGGAAGGTCTTGGGGGCTCTCAGTTCCCTTGTCACCCCTCCCATTTCCAAACAACACCAAGGTGTGCTTCAACCACCTGCCTGGGAGCAGCAGGAGGTGAAAGCCAGGCTGTGTTGTGTGCGTGTTCCAGTGGGGAAAGTGGTGGTGGTGTCTAACGAGCAGGTGAAATGCAGGGAGGGCTGGCGGGTTGGGAATGTCATCCACCTCTTCTCTGTTCCTTAACTCCCCTCCACTCCCTTTGAGTACATGATCCTGGCGACCATCATTGCCAACTGCATCGTGCTGGCCCTCGAGCAGCACCTCCCTGAGGATGACAAGACACCCATGTCAAGGAGATTAGTAAGTACCCTGTGTCCATCCCTCTCTGCCCTGCATCGGGTGGGCTGGTGGGTGAGCAGAGGCATCAGCTAAGGGGAGATATTCAATCCTGCCAGGCTTCTGGTTTCAGGGTGGTAGGGCAGGAAGTTTCCTCTGAGACCAGCTCCTCTAGCCTTTCTGGGGCTGCTGTAACATATTCCTCCTCTATGGAGAGGGTTCAGGAAGGCTTAAGCCCCTCAGAAAGTGGGGTAGGGAAGGACTGGGCAACCTTGGGTGACTTATAGCCACCATCTTTTTTCCCCAAGGTTGATGTGGCTGAGGAAGGGCTGGAAAAGCTCCCAAAGGAGAGGATGGGGCTGGGGAAAGTGGGATGGAACATGAGTTGGGCCAATGTGAAATGCCTGGTGCTGTGTTTGCTCAGTCCCCCCCTCTCACTGCATCACTGACTTCCCTCTGGCAGGAGAAGACGGAGCCTTACTTCATTGGGATATTCTGCTTTGAGGCTGGGATTAAAATCGTGGCTCTGGGGTTCGTTTTCCACAAGGGCTCGTACCTGCGCAACGGCTGGAATGTCATGGACTTCATCGTGGTCCTCAGTGGGTGAGTGGGGTGGGGCTGGGGGGGATTGGTTGGGCAGCTGGGCATGGGGGCTCGTCCTGGTGGGGACATGAGCTGCAGGATGTCCAGGGCAAGGCCCTGGTTTGCTGTTGTTTGTGGTGGTTCTTCATCCCAACTGGGAGGAAGGGGAGGATGGTTCTTCGTGCTGGAGGCTCCTGTGTTGGATTTGCTGTGTGGGCAGCTAAGGGTGGGACAAGGGTCCCCAGCAGGCTGGGATGGCTGGCTCTGAGGGCACCATGTCTCGCTTTCCTCAATTGGTGTCCTGACATCTGTGACCCATCTGGGCACGGGGTGAGGTGAAGACGAGGAGAATGGCCTGATAAGCAACTGGATGTGTTCTGGGAGAGGTTTTGTTCAGACACTGCATGGGGAGGAGGAAAATCTCTTGTCCTTTTGCCTTCTGAAGCACTTTCTAGGGTTGGCCTGATGCTGGGGGCTTGGGAACGAGGTCTGGGTGGGGTCACGTTCCCAGGTGATGCCTGCTCAGCATGCCAGCGTGCAGCAGTGATGCTGGGGGTGGTAGCACACAGAGCTTCACGGGTGCTGCTTGTGTGTCACTGGTGGTGTCACCTGCCAGGGACGTGGTCCAGATTTGAGTCCTGCTTGCAGTGTGATGGGCTGTGCTGGTGACAGGAATGAGCAGGGGCATTTGGGCTTGTGTTAGCTGACAGTGGCAATGGCTTGAGCAAAAGCCTCCCGGGGTGACTCCCCTCGCTGTGTGGAGGGCAGGTGTGTGCCTGCAGCCACCAAGGGAAGCGGTGCCGGGGTTGTGCCTATTTCTTTCTGTGTGCTGACAGAAACGTCACGTTCAGAGGAGCTGGTTTGATGTGTACAAACAGATGGTTTGTGTGGGTCTCTGAGCACTTTGTGGGCTTTGCTGGATGCAGAGCAGTGGCAGGGTTGTGGGGGAAACTGAGGCACAGGAGCCAGGTGAGATGCCTGGAGTCTCCACAGAGCTGTTTGCTGCACAGTCCTGTCTCTTGGCTTGCAAGGTGGTGGCACCACGTGGGATGTGATCTCCTTTGGGTGTTCAGAGGAGGAAATTGGGATGCTGAGCCTGGTGCTGCCAGGGGTGTGGTGGTGGGTGCTGCTTGTCCGTGGTGGAGAGGTGCAGGTTGAGACTGTGCTTGAGAGGAGTCTTGAGGAGAACGTGGTCTGGGACGTTTTGACTCCCTTTGTCCAATCGGGACCTGGATGGCCTCGCTGGGGTGTGGGACCATGTCTGCCTGAGAAGGCAGGGTGTGCTGGTGGTGGGGTGATGCCTCTGGTGGGGGCAGCAAACCGGCTCCCTGCGGACGGTGCAGCCGTGGCACAGGAAACTGCTGCTCTCCTGCATCTGCCAAATGACTCCTGGGGAGGACTCTGTGGCTCCTGGACTGGGAAAAGTTGCTCAAATCCCTGGTCACACTTCTGGGGACAGCATGGGACACGTGTCACCCCTGGTAGCAACAAGAGGGGCTCTCAGCCTCACCGTGCAACTGCAGTGCAGGAAGCGGGCGGGTGGATGGGAAATGCCCTTTGGGCATCCTTTGGGGCGTGGGCCAAGGGGAAGCACTGGGCTGGGAGGGGGGGTTTGCTGTGGACCCGTCCCCGCCCTCCCCGCGGCTCGGGGCGAGCTGACTGTAACCGAGCCGGTGCTGAGTCAGCGCTCGGCAATTACTCGCAAAAGCCTCGCCAGCTCCTTTCAGTGCCGCGCCGGGCCGGGCCCCGTGCCAGGGAATCAATTGTCCATGAAGGGCTGTGAGCTCCGTGTCAGCTGCCCTGATAGGAGGTACCTGGGTCCCCCTGGCACTGCTGGTTGTGGGGCAGAGCCCTCCAGCATCTGCTTCACCACCATCACCTGCCTTGTGTCCTGATGTTGCCTCCAGTGGAATGGAAACCCTTCCCAAGAAACCCCTGGTTACCTGCTGGCTTCATTCCGTCAGCGCTGGTGCCTGCTGACATGACCTCACTGACCTTTAGGGGCAAAATCTGTTCTGTGATGGGTGGAGGAGGCAACACACAGATTTTCATTGTGGACTGGTTTTGGGGAGGATGGGGTCACTGGGATCAGCTGGACCAGGTCATTGGGCTCCTCTGTGCTGTTCACATTGGGCTCCTGCTTTTGCTGTGTGGTGCCGACAAAGCTGCTGTTCCTTGGTGCCATGGTTGCGCCTCCCTTGCAAGAAACTCTTGCCTGTTTGATCTGCTGAATTATTGGCAAATTTCTGCAGCAAATAATCCTTGGCTGGCAAATGACTTGCAAACAGCTTGTGGGAGAAGATTTGCACTTGGCGGTTCGTTCTGTGTCGGTTGCGTAAGGCGGGTGGTGAAGCCTGCACGGGGGACGTGTGCGGGCGACCGGCGGGTTCGGGATCGTCTCTGCGGACTAAAACTTTCCACTTGATGAATATGCGAGTGTCTGGACAGAGATTTGTGGGAAGTACTTCTTGGGGATCTCTTTGTCACTTACCAAGAGGCAGTGGTGTGGTGGAGGGGATGTTGTGAGCATCAAAGGTGTAGGGTAGCGCTTGCCTTGGGATGTGCTGACCCATTTGGGAGGCTGATGGACCAGAGAGGATATCTGTGTGAGCAGAAACCACCCCAGGATCCATACCAGAGGGACCCAGCATCATGCTCTCTGGCCCTTGTCCCTCCAAGTGTGATGCAGGATATTACTCTTCCTTTCTGGACTTATTTTTTGCCATATATCTGATGGGAGAGGTCCTTAATGCAGGTGGCATCATGGTCCCAGACACCACATTAGGATTTCCGTGAGAAGTGGGATTTTCTGCATGCTCTCCCTGGTGTAAATTAGCCTAATGAGGGACTTCTCCTGTGAGCAGCCTCCTGGGACCCTCTGCAGGAATGGATGGCACTGACTAGGGTTCAACCTGTGTTTGCTTCTTGTGTCAATAAATCCAGTTTTTTTCATCTCAGTGGAAATCAACGCCCACCTAAAGCTCCCTGATGCTAAAGCTTCCACCGGGGAACTAATAGTCACATTTGTAAACCTTTCTCTGTTTATAACCTGTGGTTTCCAAATCTTCATTGCTGCCTGAAAAAACAGCCTGTTCTCCTCCAGCTAAAAATAATTTTGTCTGAAAGTGTGCATAAAATACCTTTACTCGTTCTGAGGCAGAGCCAGGGTGGGGAACATCTGTGTTTCCCCTGGGGACTGGGGATGCTCACCTTGCCTGTGCATGGACCAGAGCTGGCCAGGTGCTGAAGCTGGACTTGTGACCCACTTAATGCAGTGTGACCAGGACCAAAAAAGGATAAAATGGGTCAGAAAGGGCAGTGGGAGGTTGGTGACCTCTTAATTGGTGGTCCTGAGAGGGTGAGGTTGAAGGAGCTTCAGCCATCAGGAACTGGAGCATTAGCTCTCTGCTCCCTGGGTGCCATTAGGAAGAGAGAACAAGGACCCTGCAGTTGCCTGCTTTTGTGCTACACTGTATTTGAAGGTGCTCATGGAATAAGAAGGGTTAAACTCCCTCTGCAAATATCCAGGTGGGTGTGTGCTTCACACACTCCAGTGCCTGAGCATCATCTCACCATTGGCTTTTTTTATAGCAGTAATACAATAACATGTGAGTGGTGAAGGAGTGGGGGAACACTGCTAACAATGGGGGGAAAAAGCAAAATGGGAATCAAAGGGCCCTTGTGAAGTTGTGCTGCTCGGGAGCCGGGGAAGCAGCTGCTGTAAAACCAGAATAAATACACTGGGGTCACTAAAAGGAAGAGCTGGTGTCAGTGTTTTTCAGAGGATTTAATAACAGCTGCTACACCTGGGTGCCTTTTGTGAAGCCCTTGGGCACGGTGGTTTCCATTAAAGGATTTTGTGGGGTGGAGCGTGGCCAAGGAAAGGCAGAACTGAAAGATTGCTGGTGCTGCTTGCCATGCCCTTAGCAAGCCCGGAGCCAACCGGATGGGCACCAGCCTGTGCTGGAGGAGGAAAGCTTGGCTCTCCCAAGTCCTGTCCCAGAGACCAGTGTCCTCTCCCTGCAAAGCCAAGTGGCAGCCGTGAGCCAGGCCCCTCCCTCTGACCTGCCAGGGAAATCCTGCACATACCTGTGCCCTGATTTCCTGCTGGGACTGGTGTGAAGCAGGGCAGAGCGTTTCTGAGGAGGTTGCTTCCTGCCACGCTGCAGGGCTGCAATGTGAGCCCAGGGATAAGGAGGGCATTTTTGCTCCTTGTGGTGCTACCTAGATTTTGGTATGACTGTCCTGGAAAGTTCCTTTTCACACTTCCTCCTGATCTCCCCCATGGCAGAGGCAGGGATGCTTTGCTTCCTGGTATTTAGTGCACCTTGTGCAAGTTCTGTGTGTTTGGGTGGTCTTCTTGATCTCGGAGTTCCAGAGTTGGAGGGGGAACAGGGGCTGGCGGCAGCTCTGTCTGGGAATATTCATGTGCTGCATCCTCTCATGGTTTGGGGTGCTGGCCCCCAGCAGTGTGCCTGGCACACCAAGCATTTGTGAGAGCACAAACTTGCCACTCCTGGGCTAGGAACAGGCTCTTCCCCCAGCACCCACACATATGTTTTCCTAACCAAGGGAATATAGTGCAATTCTAGGCAAGGAAGCTTGAGGGAGTGGATATGAGGCTTGGAGAAGAAGCACTAAATCAGAGTACCAGTGCAGTATCCCGACATGGTTATCCTGCTGGAGCCTCAACCATTGCAAGGAGTGTTGTCCTGTAGTAAAGAGACAACTCTGGGTCCAAAAGCTGAACAATGCTTTGGTCACACCAGACAGGACTTTTTTTTCTTCTCTTTACTTTGTTTCCTTTCGTGAATGGTGCCTGCCCCATCTCCCACCCCTTTCCCAGCTCTTTCCTTCCAGGACAATTAGTAAGGTGTTTTGTCTTTCATTTGGATGAATAATTGATTTCCCAGCTTTGTGAATGTTTCATGTGCCATATGCCACGGCGGTGGGACGTGCCCGACATCGGCACCTCGTACAAAGGGCTGCACCGTTTCCCCGGCTCGCTGAGGGGGAAAGGG